CCGACTGGGTGTCCACCGAGTCATCCGTTTCAGAGCCCGAGTCCGCCGAGGAGTCCGAGTCCTCCTGCAGTGTGGGGACCTCCGCAGGCTCCAGTACCCAGTCCGCCGGGAAGCCGTTGGGCCAGGCAGGGAACGCAGGGAGGACTTGAACCACCCGGACTGGGCGGACCCGCTCCCGCCGCCAGCAGTGGAAATCACGGATGCGGGACCGGGCGGCCACAAGGACCAAACTGAAGGGGAAGGGGAGGCGTCCCCCACGGTACCCTCAGGGAGCGCACCATCGACTCGCTCATGGTCATTGGTGGAACAGGGACCCGAGGACACACCAGTGAAGGCCAAGGACCTGTTTCCGGACTTCCCCCTTCGTGTTGTTGCGGCAGTCAAACGCACAGGCAACGCCGGCCAGGCCAGAATCCACCTGCTGAATGACGAAGGCACGGCTGTGGGGTGCGGGTGGCGACCGGCGGCCTCCAAGATCCAGGGGCTCTCCGTGCTGGACTACATGTCGGAGCCAGAGGCCTATGGCAAGTGCGAACGCTGCTTCAAGAGGTAGGTTCAGGTTGGGGACCTTCTGCGCTACCTGGCCCCAAATCTCCACAACGACATTGCGCTTCTCCCGCACATAGACGTCTGCTGCGCTCTCTGTGAGCCAGTTGCCTAAGTACATGCGGCGCTCCCGGGGGAGCCCCATCTGGAAAGCGCAGTCCGGGATGAACACTCGGAATGAGTGCCACGTCAGCGGCTTCACCAACCCCAGGGTCAGTCTTGAGCCATCTCAGAGCCCTTTCTGGTGCGGAAGGTCTCGGGATCAGCCCGGCGAAGTCTTTGCTCACTGTCGGGAGCAAGTAGTCCATGTCCTGGAATGCCTTCTCGGATACCAGTCGCCGGACCGTGGCCACCCAGGTAGTCCACCAGGGGATCCCCGTGAAGCTGTACTTCGGAGCAATCAAGGGGACCGGGTTGCGGTTGATTCGTGCTGCTGAGACCGTCTTGGTCTGCCAGGCCTTCAGCTCCACGGTGTTACTGGTGTGGATCAGGTCCTTAGGGTGAACATGCTGGAGGTCATTGAAACGAGCGCTGCACCCTACTTGGAACCGGGCGAAACCCAGGATGAATGCGTCCAGTACCTCGTGTCTGCTGGGGCCGCCTGCGTACCGGGGCCGGTGGCACCCAGGTGATCGTAGCCAGCCCCTTCCTCCAGAGCCCATATGACCTCTTTGCTGGGGACCACCGCCTTGCGCTGCGGCCGGGTGACCGTGTCCGTGAGTGCCTCTTCCAACGAGCTCTTCTTGGACTTGAGGCGATGGAGCTCGTCTATCTTCAGCATACCGAAGGTCTTGGAATACCATTTGAGGGTGTTCCACACCTGCCGTAGCTTGTACGGGGTGACCTCCTCTTCGGCGAGCTGGTTGAGGAGAGAGCGGACATGTCGTTCCTGCCAGGGAATCACCGTGAAGCCTCTCTTCCGGAGACTCTCGTAGACCAGGCAATGCTGCCTGAGTGTCCGGAACCTATTGTCCCCCAGGAGGTCCAATGCCTCCTTGCGGAAGTCCTCCCCCAGGATGTCCTGCATGTACGTGATGTGCTCCGCAAACGGGGCAAAGTGGGCGAGGAGCCGTTCCGCCCATTTCCCGCGCATATGGAGTTCCAGCGCTCGCTGGGTCGTGGGCTCCATTTCCCTTATTTTGCCCGGACGCCAGTGCCTCCACTTCAGAAGCTCCGGTTGTTGGAGTGGGGGTGGGTCATCTCGTGAGAACCACCTCAATTGGTCCTGGCGGTCCCATTCATTCTCCAGCGGGGAAAAGTCCTCGCTCGGCTTGCCATCCGCCGTCGCCAGGAGGAGGAACCATATGCTGTCCCACAGGTCGGCCAGGTCCGCCGCGGACAGAGGCTGGGGAAGCCTGCCTGCCGCCGCCGCCACCAGGCCGTTGAAGTATTCCGTCGGGACCACGTGGGCGTCTTGTCCTGCCCGAGAGTTCCAGGAGCTGAGAGAAGCGGATTGCCGGCTCTCCGCCCAGCTTCCTCCCCTCCTCCTCAGTGCCTTGGCGCAGGCACATCAGGACCAACAGCTCCCCGTCCGTCTGTCTCGCCAACGTGTCCCATAGGACCCTTGGAACGCGGTCCCAAAGACGTGTGCAGGGCGGGCGCATAAGAAACTTGGTAGATACCCTAGTCATGATGAAAAAGGGGGTTTTGAGCCTCCTATCGAACCGCCGGCGGCACAATGCATGCATGCTCCAACCTTGCAGAATGCAGAGTGCAGATGGAGCAGGCAGGCCACACACATCCCGACACGTCCCCCCCAAAGTCCCGAGATTTTAACAGGGAGAGGGGGGAGCGCGACCCAAAATCAACCCCCCAGAAACCCCCCAAAAGCACGGAGGGGGAGACCGACCAGGTGGGGGATTCCCCAAAACCCCAAGGGGACCTCAAGGAAACCATGAGTCGGCCGCAGCCACTTTTTCCGAACCGTGGCTGAGATGGCCCGTCCTTGGGGCAGCTAATGCATGTGGCCTCATGGTCGAGGAGATCAAGCTGCCGTGACGTGGCTCCACTGCCATGCCACCGGAAAAACCCACGTGCGCCACCAAAATGGAATAAGAGAGGAAACAGTGGTGAAAACCGAACCCAATAAGGACGACTCCCACGTCCGACAGGGTTGTGAGACAAAACCTAGCGGCTCCCTCCCTTCAGGATCGCCTCCTTCGCCACCGAGTGGATTGCCGCCAGCCCCGACTTCTCCGGGTTGCTCAGGATGACCGACCACAAGGCCGTGGAGACATCCCCCAGACCGTTCGAGGAGCTGAAGCGCATGCGGGGGGTGCTCGCTTGTTCAGGACCAGCCGCTCATCCTTGGGAGGCTCCGTTGGCTCCACCCTCTTGTAGAACTCCATCCGATCGCGGATCCACTGATTGTACAGCTGCTCCGGGGGCTCGTCCATCACCAACTGCAAGCAGGTGGCCTTATCCCTGTGCCACCCCGTGATCTGGAGCAGCCTGGTCCCCCCGCGGCTCGCCTTCCAAAAGCCCTTGCAAAATCTGCACATATAGCCCCCCGTGGTCTTGAACTTTTCCTTGCTCACCACTTCCCAGGCACTGATGCTTGGCAAGACCAAGCCACACTCCACGGAGCCCCAAAACACAGTGCCTGGGAAGTGGTGAGCAAGGAAAAGTTCAAGACCACGGGGGGCTATATGTGCAGATTTTGCAAGGGCTTTTGGAAGGCGAGCCGCGGGGGGACCAGGCCGGTTCAGATCACGGGGTGGCACAGGGATAAGGCCACCAGCTTGCAGTTGGTGATGGACGAGCCCCCGGAGCAGCTGTACAATCAGTGGATCCGCGATCGGATGGAGTAAGAGGGTGGAGCCAACGGAGCCTCCCAGGGATGAGCGGCTGGTCCTGGGCGACGCGAGCACCCCCCGCATGCGCTTCAGCTCCTCGAACGGCCTGGGGGATGTCTCCCGCACATGGCGGCTTTTGTTGGGGAAGTGCTCGGATGTCCACCCGCATGTTAAGCGGGACCGCATCTGCCATGGTGATCTCATCAGCCGAGTCCGTTTTTGGAGGGGCTCTCCCCAAGACCGTGCCGTCCACCAAGTTGCGGTCGGCCTGTGCCAGGGTACCACCGGGGCCAGTTCCCGCTGCTGGATCCAGATTGGCTTGCCCTCCAAGATGAGCAGGTTGTAGGTGATGCCGTCCGCCTCATAGGTGGCCGAGGGTGCCTGGAAGGGGGCGGACTCCTTGCCGGGGCAGACCCAGCACTGCTTGGCTGCCTCTGGCCACCCCGTTCCGCATGCCTTGCACATGAACTTGTAGTCGGAATGACCTGCGTCGAGCCTGTACATGCGCTGGGTGCCGATACACGCCTTGTTCCTCTGGAACTGCGAAGCCCAGACCTCCTCCTGGCGGAGCTGGATCTTCATCGGGACGTACGCCTCCAAGATGCGGATCACCAGGTCCTCCGTGAGGTTCTTCCCAACAAACTTGTAAAACAGGGAGACCGCCTCCTCCACCGTGATGTCTCTCAGCAAGGTGGCCGCCGACGCTGGAAGGACTGGAAACAAGTCCGGGAGGTCCACCAGCTTGAAGTACCCAGGTTTTCCGTCCACCGGCACCAAGGTGACAGGTTTGTTGGCCTGAGACGTAGCCTTCTGAGAAGCCGCCACAAAGCCCTTCAGTCTCTTCGTGGGTGGCGTCTGCGCCTCCTCCGGTGGTGTGGCCCGCTCCGTGCCGTCCGCATCCCCCATGTCCCTGTCGCCCTCCTCGGCGGGGCCAGGGGCACCCAAGCCGGGAGTCGGTGTGGCAAATGCCACTTGGAGACGCTCCAGTGCACTGGAGAGGTCATTCATCACATCGGTCGCCGAAGCTGACGGGGGGGCCTCGGGCTCGTCCAAAACCAAGCCGGCCGCCACTGCCGCCTCCCGTGTGCGAATGTCCTGGGCCTCCTGGCTGGCCATTTCAACCTCCTCCACGGTGAGTGTCTGGTCCTCAATCAACTCAAAGGAAGTTGCCGAGGTTGCCGAGGAAGCCATTGCTTGGTCGGGGTTAAGTTCGAAAATGCAAAAGATCAAAGTTTTTCAATCAGCTTGGGTTCCAGGAACCCAGAGCAAAGCATGAGCCAAAATGGCACATGCCATTATGGTCAAGCATTCCACACACAGTTCATGTTTCCACATGCGTTTCAACATTAACAAAATCTTCCACATGTGCTGAGAGATCCAATAGTTACGAGGATCTTGGCCCAAGTTTCAGGTACACTAAAATCACATCGTGAGATTCCTCATGCGCCATCGACAAACAAGCCTTCTTCAGGTCGATTCGCGTGGCCATGGGTGAATCGATTCGGGTTTCCCCACATCTCCACCAGCAGGATTCTGTTCGGCAACTTGTCAGGCTGGAAACAATTTTTACCAGAGCTCGCAAACTCGGCTGGATTGCGGGTACGAAGACGTATGAAACAACGACATGCATGCAAGCATGCACCTATCCACACGCGTGGCCTGCGTGTAACAGTCGGCGGCACAGCAACGTACGTCCGCGGGCAGCCGCCTGAGTCCGGCCGGCGTTGAATACAATGCGAACGCACACCAGGGATCTGGTTTCAAGCACCTCCAGCAAGTCAAATCCAAGTTGCAGTGGTTAAACAGCATGGCTCAGTTGCAATTTGCGCGAGATAGCAAAGGCTGCAAATCTGGGGCAGAAACCAAATTAACTGCCAAGCAACTCTTGGAAGCTTTGCCAACGGGGGAATGCATTGCAAGCAGCTCACCTGGTTTCCACGTACTAGGAGTTGCTTCTTACGAGAGAAACAAACATATCTGGAACAAGAATACCAACCGAGCTGTTTGCCGGAAGCAAGATCCTAGGCACCGGAATCCTCACAAAACTCATGCAACATCAAAACAACAGCACCCACCAAAATTGCTCAAACTGAGATACAACGCCTCTGGATGGCAGAAGCTTCCCGAGTGGCTTGGCCAAAACGATCCAACTTGTCTAGACTTGCGACCGCTAACATGGTCTTCCCAGAAACTGAGTCCTCCATGAATGGTTTCTCCTATGGACGCCCTACATCTGCATCTCTTGTTCCCAGACCAGACCCTCTGCGGCCCTGCAAAGGGGAAAAGTCAGACCGTGGGCGGTTTCAAATGTTCCTTGAAATCTAATCCCAAACAGCTTGTTTCCTAGGGCCCCTACATTTGTGAATGCCTTTGGTTGGTTTCGCAATGGAAGCCAAAAGCAAACGCAATCTGGGCGTCCCGAAAAAATGAGAACCCCAAGGCAAACCCAGCTTGGTCTCGGAGCCCGCGCCCACATGAGCGGAGTGCGGAGCCGGGCTGCGTCCCTGAAGTCCTCGCTTCGCACGGTCCGCTTCGCGAGCGGAGAAAACCCCAAAGACAAGCAGGCCTGCCGCATGCCATTTGTGCCAAAGGGGAGCCCCTCAAATGGCGTCGTTTTAAAACGCCGGAAAAAAAAGGTGCCCTAGAAGCACAGGGATTTGTCTGCACCATTGGGCGAAAGAAGAGCATGCCCCCTGTTTCGCGGGGGGTTGTTTCGTAGAGGGGCTCCCTTGGGTCAGCATGGGAAAACACCATAGAAACAGAGATGGTGCTCACTTGGGCCCATATATGGCAACCACCCTACCCTCTCCTTGTGCAGCTTACGTGTAGCTTCCTTCTGAACATCTGCGACGCTACGTACACTGCCTGAAGAATCTACAACAACAGCTTTTGTGCCCAGTCCAATGGTTGGGGTCTTGCGTGCCCACTGCGAGAAAGAAGGCTTGGCTCACGTCGAAGGAAAGCAAACAACTCAAAACTTGTTAGCTCCAATTGACTTCCATTCGTTTTTTTGGCTGGTTGATGCCATGGGGAGGTGTCTGAGAAAGCTAATGTGATCTGCCGGTTGTGGAAAACCAGAAAAGGAAACCGGGCATTCAATGCCAACTTCGGATTAATCTGAGGGAGCATACCAATCAAAGGGTGGTGCCTCTTAGGGGGGGCTCGTTCGTTTTAGGAGGAGCCATCTGGTGTTGCATCCGAATTTATCATTATATAAGTCCCCTTAGGGACCCCAAACCTAATTACTTGAGGTCTTGGGGGGGTCACAAGCCCTTGTACTTATACTTAGCTTGGTGCACGCTGTCTGTACTACGTGTGTTGTTACAGGGTGCTGTTGCTGGTGGCTGCTGAGGTGTGCAACTAATGATGTCGGGTCATTCACAAATACAAGTATTGCCGGGCAGTTGTGCGGCGCAGTCCGTGAGTCTGCAGGTTTCCCGTTAAGCTTGCCCCAGGAGGCTGGAGAATACAAGGTTGACATGGGAGCAGGCCTATCATTCTACCGCAATCTTCTTGAAATTCAACGGTTTTGCTGCAAGCGTGCAAGCTAGTCACTTTTAGGAATCCACTGTACTTGGGCAGAAGTGCGGCCCTTATCCTCTGCAGCTTGCTTCCTTGGGCTCCGGCAATATCGGCACCCTCCGCCAGGATCCGAAAGACCTTCCAATATGTGCAGGCCGTGCTTCGAAACAGAGTGCTTCCGCATGTGCGCATGTGCGCATACGCGTGGGTGTGGGCATAACTCTGTGCGTGTGTGCTTGTGGGTGTGGGTGTGGGTGTTTTGTTGTGTGTGTGTGTTGGTTATGTGTGCGTGGGTTGGTTATGTGTGTGTGTGCGTTGGTTGTGCGTGTGTGTGTGTGTTCATTGTGTGTGTGTTGGTTGCGTGTGCGCGTGCGCGCGTGCTTGCGCGCGTGTCTCTCTGCGTGTCTCTCTGAGTGCGTCTGTGTGTCTGTATGCCTGTGTGGGTATAGTTGCGTGCGTGTGGGTGATTGCTCGTACGTGTGTGCGTACGTCCGTGCGTCCGTGAGTCTGCATGTCTGTGTGTGCGTGTGTGTTTGTGGATGTGTGTCTGGAAGTGTGTGTGTGTGTGTGTGCGTGTGGAAGCGTGTGTGTGTGTGTGTTTGTGGAAGTGTGTGTGTGTGGAAGTGTGTGTGTGTGTCTGGAAGTGTGTGTGCGGAAGTGTGCGCGTGTGTGTGTGTGTGTGGAAGTGTGTTTGTGTGTGTGGAAGTATGTGTGTGTGTGTTTGTGTGTGTGTTGGTGTGTGAGTGTGGGTGTGTGTGTGTGTGGGAGGGTGCGTGTGTGTGTGAGGGAGTGCGTGCGTGCCTGTGCGCGGGTCTGTGTGTGTGTGCGCGGGTGTGTGCGTGTGTGTGGGGTGTGTGTGTGTGTGTGTCTGTGTGTGTGTCTCTCTGTGTGTGTGTGTTTGTGTTTGTGCTTGTGTTTGTGTGTGTGTTTGTGTTTGTGTGTTTGTGTGTGTTTGTGCAACCACACAAGCACACCAACACACAAACACACAAACGCACAAACGCACAAACGCACAAACACGCACAAACACGCATTCACACACAGCCAAACCCACACAAGTACACAAACACACACACACACACAAATACACAACAAACAACCAGACGAACACGCAAACACACAAACACACACACACACAAACACACACAAACACACGCAGCCAGCAAACTTCATGTGGGGCCTTGGCTTGTGGGGGCCCTCTGCCCTCCAGAAAAAAACTTGAAGCCACGGGAAAACACAGGAAAAAACACAAAAAAAAACACCCAGATCCCAAACCTGCCCAAGCGCCCAAAGTCGACGCTGGCTCAGCGCGTCTCAAGAACACGCCGACGCCATTTACTCTTGTACTGATGACTGCAACATCTAAACATCCGAACGTAAGCTGAGCGCCCACAAGCTCCCACATGCACACTCGTGGAGAACGCACGCAACACTTCCACCCACAAGCGCCCACGTGCGCCCACAAGACCCGCAAAAGAGCGCCCACAAGCGCACACATGCGCCCATGAAAGGCATTAAACACTGCCGCCCAACAAGCGCCCACATGCGCATGAAGGCGACCCCCAAAAACGCCGCCCAGAAGCAACCGCAAGTGCCAGTACCCGCACCGCCGACTGAAAGCGTCCATGGCAGCTAAAACCGTCCACACAAGGGCGCAAACCGCCCGCAAAACATGCGCCCTCATACACCCATGACTGGAGCGCCCGCAACGCTACCGCCCACACCGCCAAGACTTCCACCCGCATGCGTTCATGACCCACCCAGACTGACTGGCGCCCACAAGCGCCCACAAGCCCACAAAAGGCACTTCTTCCAAGCGCTTGTATGCGTTCACAACCCGCAGCACAACACTTCATCAAGAAAGCACCTGCGCCCACAAGCGCCCACAAGCACTCATCACATCCGCCCAGAAGCGCCCACATGCGCCCACATGCGCTCACGCGCCCGCCAAGAAAGCGCCCGCAGCACTTCCGCCCACAAGCAAGCGCCCACATGCGCCCACATGGAAGCAAACCAAGAGAGAGCCCGCGTGTGCCCACTAGCACCCACAAGCCAATGAAAAGCGCGGCGCCCGCAACACCACCCACCAAGCCAAGAGCTACAAGCCCACACCCGCAACCCCGCCCACAACCAGAGCACCCACGAGCCCCCCAAAACGAGCGCCAACCAAGCCCAGCAAGAGCGCCCCAAAAACCGGCGCCCACAAGCGCCCACAAGCGCCCACAAGCGCCCACAATGCCCACAAACCCAGAAAGAGCAACAAAGCAAAAGCGCCCACAAGCCCAGCAAGAGCCCACGAGCGCCCAAAAGTGCCCACAAGGGCCAGCCCAGCAAAAGCGCCCACAAGCGCCCACAAGCCCAGCAAAAAGCAAAAGCGCCCACAAGCCCAGCAAGAGCGCGCACAAGCGCCCAAGCGCCCACAAGCCCAGCAAAAGCTCTTAGCAGCCCACAAAAGCGCCCAAGCGTTATAAGTCAATAAGCGCCCACAAGCCCATCAAAAACGCCCCCACCGACAACCTGGATTAAGGGTAAGCAGGGCGTCTTTTACCAAAAGTTCAGACACATTTGCTTTGGGCCCAGGTTTGCGATCGTCCGGAGGAACCCTCATCGTCTTGAAGCAGTTGACTCCTTTGAGGCATCGTCCACCAGCAAGAGCGCGCAAGCGCTCGCAAGCCCAGCAAAAGCGCCCACAAGCCCAGCGAAAGCGCCCACAACCCCAAGAGAGCCCGCAAGCGCCCACAAGCCGCCTGCAAGCCCAGCGAAAGCGCCCACAACCCCAAGAGAGCCCACAAGCGCCCACAAGCCCGGCAAAAGCGCCTACAAACACCCACCGCCACAAGCCCAGCAAAAGCGCCCACAAGAGCGCCCAAACAGCAAAAGCACCCACAAGAACCAAGCCCAGCAACGCCAACAAGCCCAGCAAGCCCCGCAAAAGCGCCCAAGAGCGCCCGCAAGCGCCAACAAGCGCCCACAAGCCAGCAAAAGCGCCCAAAGCCCAGCCCCACAATCCCAGCAGTAGCGCCCACAAGCCCAGCAAGAGCAGGCCAGCAAAAGCGCCCACCCACACGTGGTGAGCCCAGCAAAAGCGCCCACCCAAGCGCCCACAAGCGCCAACAAGCCCAAGCAACAGCGCCAACAAGCGCCCACCCACAGCCGCCCACACACTCCCACAAGCCCAGCAAAACCGCCCACCAGCAAAAGCGCACAAGCGCCCAAGCCCAGCAAAAGCGGCAAGACCAGCACAAGCGCCCACAAGGACAAGAGAGCGCACAAGCGCCCACAAGCCTAGCAACAGCCCCCACAAGCCCTACAAGCCCAGCAAAAGCGCGCACAAGCCCAGCAAGCCCGCAAGCCCAGCAAAAGCGCCTACAAAGAGCGCCCAGAGTCTCAAGCCCAGAAAAAGCGCCCACAAGCCCACAAGAGCGCCAAGCCCAGCCGCCCACAAGCCCAGCCCACAAGCCCAGCAAAAGCGCCCACAAAGAGCACCCACAAGCGTTAGTGCCCACAAGCCCAGCAAGCCCGCCCGTAAGCCCAGCAAAAGCGCCCACAAGAGCGCCCAAACAGCAAAAGCACCCACAAGAACCAAGCCCAGCACAGCAAGCCCCGCAAAAGCGCCCAAGAGCGCCCGCAAGCGCCCACAAGCCAGCAAACGCGCCCAAAGCCCAGCCCCACAATCCCAGCAATAGCGCCCACAAGCCCAGCAAGAGCAGGCCAGCAAAAGCGCCCACCCACACGTGGTGAGCCCAGCAAAAGCGCCCACCCAAGCGCCCACAAGCGCCAACAAGCCCAAGCAACAGCGCCAACAAGCGCCCACCCACGCCCACAAGCCCAGCAAAACCGCCCACCAGCAAGAGCGCACAAGCGCCCAAGCCCAGCAAAAGCGGCAAGACCAGTACAAGCGCCCACAAGCCCAGCAAGAGCAGGCCAGCAAAAGCGCCCACCCACACGTGGTGAGCCCAGCAAAAGCGCCCACCCAAGCGCCCACAAGCGCCAACAAGCCCAAGCAACAGCGCCAACAAGCGCCCACCCACAGCCGCCCACACACTCCCACAAGCCCAGCAAAACCGCCCACCAGCAAAAGCGCACAAGCGCCCAAGCCCAGCAAAAGCGGCAAGACCAGCACAAGCGCCCACAAGCCCAAGAGAGCGCACAAGCGCCCACAAGCCTAGCAACAGCCCCCACAAGCCCTACAAGCCCAGCAAAAGCGCGCACAAGCCCAGCAAGCCCGCAAGCCCAGCAAAAGCGCCTACAAAGAGCGCCCAGAGTCTCAAGCCCAGAAAAAGCGCCCACAAGCCCACAAGAGCGCCAAGCCCAGCCGCCCACAAGCCCAGCCCACAAGCCCAGCAAAAGCGCCCACAAAGAGCACCCACAAGCGTTAGTGCCCACAAGCCCAGCAAGCCCGCCCGTAAGCCCAGCAAAAGCGCCCACAAGAGCGCCCAAACAGCAAAAGCACCCACAAGAACCAAGCCCAGCACAGCAAGCCCCGCAAAAGCGCCCACAAGCCAGCAAACGCGCCCACAAGCCAGCAAACGCGCCCAAAGCCCAGCCCCACAATCCCAGCAATAGCGCCCACAAGCCCAGCAAGAGCAGGCCAGCAAAAGCGCCCACCCACACGTGGTGAGCCCAGCAAAAGCGCCCACCCAAGCGCCCACAAGCGCCAACAAGCCCAAGCAACAGCGCCAACAAGCGCCCACCCACAGCCGCCCACACACGCCCACAAGCCCAGCAAAACCGCCCACCAGCAAGAGCGCACAAGCGCCCAAGCCCAGCAAAAGCGGCAAGACCAGTACAAGCGCCCACAAGCCCAAGAGAGCGCACAAGCGCCCACAAGCCTAGCAACAGCCCCCACAAGCCCTACAAGCCCAGCAAAAGCGCGCACAAGCCAGCCCCACAATCCCAGCAACAGCGCCCGCAAAGCCGAGCAACAGCGCCCGCAAAGCCCAGCAAGAGCAGCCCAGCAAAAGCGCCCACCCACAAGTGCTGAGCCACAAGCCCAGCAAGCCCAGCAAGCGCAGCAAGAGCGCCCACCCACAACCGCCCACACACGTAAGCAAAAGCGCTTCGCCAAAAGCGCCTACAAGCCCAGCAAAAGCGCGCGCAAGCCCAGCAAGCCTCTACAGGCTCAGCTAGCAAACGCG